AGACCACATCACACAGTACTCCCAGCTTCAGTTCTTCAATCACCAACACACAGACCACCTCACATAGTACTCCCAGCTTCACTTCTTCAATCACCACCACTGACACCACCTCACACAGCACTCCCAGGTACACGTCCTTGATCACCAAAACCGAGACCACCTCACATAGTACTCCCAGCTTCACTTCTTCGATCACCACCACAGAGACCACCTCACACAGTACTCCCAGTTTCACTTCTTCGATCACCGCCACCGAGACCACCTCACACAGTACTCACAGCTTCACTTCTTTGATTGGCACCACTGAGACCACATCACACAGTACTCCCGGCTTCACTTCTTCAATCACCACTATGGAGACTCCCTCACATGGTACTTCCAGCTTCACTTCTTTGATAACCACCTCTGAGACCCCCTCACACAGTACTCCAAGCTTCACTTTTTCGATCACGATCACCGAGACCACCTCACACAGTACTCCCAGGTACACTACCTCAATCATCACCACTGAGACCCCCTCACAGAGTACTCCCAGCTTCACCACCTCAACTACTTCCACCGAAATCACCTCACACAGTACTTCCAGCTTCACTTCTTCGAACACCACCAGTGAGACTCCCTCACACAGTACTCCCAGCTTCACTTCTTCAATCACCACTACCGAGACCACTTCACAGAGTACTCCCAGCGTCACTTCTTCGATCACCGCTACCGAGACCACTTCACACAGTACTCCCAGTTTCACTTCATCAATCACCACCACCGAGACCACCTCAAACAGCACTGCCAGCTATACTTCTTTTATCACCACAACCGAGACCACCTCACACAGTATTCCCAGCTTCACTTCTTCGATCACCACCACCGAGACCCCCTCACACAGTACTTCCAGCTTCACTTCTTTGATCACAACAACTGAGACTCCCTCACACAGTATTCCCAGCTTCACTTCTTCAATCACCACAACTGAGACCACTTCACATCCTACTCCCAGCTACACTTCTTCAATTACTACCACTGAGACCACTTTACACAGTACTCCCAGCTTCACTTCTTCGATCACCACTGCTGAGGCCACCTCACCCAGTACTCCCAACTTCGTTACTTCGATCACCACCACTGAGACTACCCCACCCAGTACTCCCAGCCTCACCTCTACGATCACCACCACCAAGACCCCACCCCACAGCACTCCAAGCTTCGCTTCTTTGATCACCACCAACGAGAACACCTCCCACAGCACTCCCAGCTTCACTTCTATCACCACCACAGAGACCACCTCACACAGTAATCCCAGCTTCACTTCTTTGATCACCACCATGGAGACCCCCTCATACAGTACTTCTAGCTTCACTTCTTTGATAACCACCCCTGGGATCCCACCACACAGTGGTCCCAGCTTCACTTCTTCAATCACCTTCACTGAGACCACCTCACACAGTACTCCCAGCTACACTACCTCAATCACCACTAGCGAGACCCCCTCACATAGTACTCTGAGCTTCATAACCTCAATCACCACCACCGAGACCATGTCACACAGTATTCCCAGCTACATTTCTTTGATCAATACCAGGGAGACCTCCTCACACAGTACTCCCAGCTTCACTTCTTCAATCACCACCACCGAGACCCCATCACACAGTATTCCCAGCTTCACTTCTTCAATAACCACAACCGAGACCACCTCACACAGTACTCCCAGCTACACTTCTTCAATCACTATCACTGAGACCAC